CTATTGTCTGATTAAAAGGTGTCAGGTGGCTCAATGTTGGGCCTTGACAAGCCTGGCCCATCTTCAGTACGCGTTACCAAAAAAAAAAAATAAAAATAAAAATAAAAACAAAAAAAAGAAAAAAGAAGAGATACATACAATTCATGGTATAAATAAATACTAACTTGAAATACTCATCAATAGCAAATCAAATATAGACCAGATATACAACATACGCACAACAAAAAAAAAATTTGAAACAAATATATACTGCATATATATATATTGGTTCATATACACTCATATATTACTACAAAAAAAATATATAAAATAATAATAATAATAATAAGAATGTTGCTAACTTATACTCTAGATGACATCATCTAGTTTAGAAATCAGTACAAAATCAGATTAGAAGTTACTAGTATTACATGATTGACACTAATTGAAATTAATTTTTAATTAATAGCATAATAGTGATAGATAATAAATTAAATTATAATTGGGGAGCTCTATAGCAAAACAAAGCCTAGTACATTTTAGTTTTGTGAAAATATTTTTAATAATTTTATATCTACAAATATAAACCTTTAAACTATAAAAATATTTCTTGTTTATATTATAGTCAGACCTCCCTATAGTCACCAAGTTGGTTGCACCCTATTTTGGTGCTTGCATAGAGGTGTGATTATAAATAAAATATCTTTCATAGTCACGTGTCTATAGGCCAATAAGTGTTTAATATAATATGTAGTTGTAATATTTTAAATATTATTAAAATGTTTAATAGTAAATAACTTTTGATTCAGTGGCCAAATTGATTGTCTCAATAAGACAATTCTAATAAGTCCTAATCTAGTTACAAAACCCAAAATCACTGAAGATTTTTCTTGTTTAAATTTAATCAATTGTTAAACACATGAAGTGACACAAATTGTTAACAATCTCAGAAACGTGTGATTATATTTAACAATTTTGGGCTTCTTAGAATTGTCTCATTAAGATGAACATTTTGGTAGTTGTTTGATCCAAATCAGGTTGTTGAATCAAAAGCTATTTGCTGTCAAACCTTTAGGAAGTTTTAAATATATATAAATAGGAATATTGGCTAATCAGATTTTATAATCCGAATTGAGCTAAAAATTGGTAACTATAATGAGAGTTTATTATTAATAAAATTGTTAAAAAATCAAATTTTTATGGTGATAGTGATTATAAGTGATTTGTGACTATAATGAGATTTTTTACTATGTTTTAAGTCTGTCATGCAATATTGGGTACTTAAATAGAGGTGTGACTATATGGGGTGTAACTATAGGGAGGTCTGACTGTATAAGCAAGCAAATATTTTTATAGTTTAAAGAAAGGTTTATATTTGTAGATATAAAATTATTATAAAATATTTATATAAAACTTCTCTAAGCATTGATCTGTTGTGGGGCTCCCCAATTTTATATATTATAATAAGGCACTTTTTCTATAAAAATTTATTATTGAAACATTCATTTACAGTAATACTTCTAGACAACCAATATAAACATATCAACTCATATACTATTCTATATTACAAACACCAGTTATATACTCTGTAAAGTTTGTATTGCTTTACTTATTAGCCACAGAATTCACTTCGCTCACCCTGTAGGTATTCACTATGGCTGTTGCTATTACTTCACTTCTTTAACCTAAATGCCTAATCTACACAACTTGATTCTAACCTGACTCTAACCCTAAAGCTATTAACATTATGAAAATCAAAACCAATACAAAAAATGAAACACACAACATGACAAACAACATGACAAACAAAATGACAAACAGAACATTAAACACAGCACAACAAAACTTACGAACCTATTCAGTAATGAACACAAATCTGAAAACAAAAAGAAAAAAAAAGTAATATAATGCCCCAGGTAAAGGAATAACCAATAACAGAAAAAGAAATGCCAAATAATGATACTAGCTACAAAAAGTTACCAGAATGAATGACAGAATGACACCAACAACAGAGAAAGAAATGCCAAATAATGAAACTAAAGCAAAGAATTACCAAATTGATGACACAAATGATAAAAAAAGAAGTACTATATAAGAAGGGTTGCTGGTGCAAGGTGCTTGATGATGCCAATGATGCACTAATATGGGTGGTGCATTTGGCATGCCAAGTACAAGTATGTGCAAGGTGGTGAGCCAATCTTATTTAAACATTATTAAATATTATTTATTATATGAAAGAAAAAATTTAAATAGTAAAAAATGATAAGTGAGTTTGCTATTTTAGTCAAAAAAATTTTTTTTTGCCCTGACTTATCAAAACTTTATAAATATTAAAATGAATAAAGTATTGCTCAAGTTTTTTCATACTTTTATTATGAATGTTCATTATTGACAAATATAATATAGTTAAATTATCAATTTTTGTAATTTTACAGATTTAATATATAGATAACTAATATAAGTATTCAAAAAAATTAAATATTAATTTAAATTTTTAATTTTATAGAAATTATTATATTTATAAATAAAAATTTAATTTTTAATATTAATATTTTTTAATATGGTGCACCACTAGGTGCACCAAAACACCAAAAAATTTAATAATGCACCAATAGTGCACCACTAGGTACACCTATGCACCAAAAAAAAATTCAATAGTGCACCAATAGTGCACCACTAAATTTATGTATACACCAGCAACCCTATATATAAGACACCAAATAATGAAGAAAGAAGTCACTAAAATGAATGACATCATGACAAAAGTGAAAGAAGCGACACCAGTGATGAAAATCACAATGAGAGATACATTAATCAATGATGAAACTGTTACTAAAAAAATAAATAAATGCTATTAACATTATGAAAATCAAAACCAATATAAAAAACCTAATGCACAACATGACAAACAAAATGACAAACAGAACATTAAATACAGCACAACAAAACTCAGCATCAACAATGAACCTATCCATTAATAAACATGAATCTGAAAACAAAAAGAAAAAAATATAACATAATGCCCCAGGTAAAAAGAATAACCAATAACAGAAAAAGAAATACAAAATAATGACACCAGCAACAAAAAAGTTACTGAAATAGATAACAGAACAGCACCAAAAACAGAAAATGAAATGCCAAATAATGACACCAAAGCAAAGAATCACCAAATTGACAGCACCAATGAAAAAAAGGAAGTGCCAAATAAGACATGAAACAACGAAGAAAGAAGTCACCGGAATGGATGACACCATGACGAAAGTGAAAGAAGTGACACTGGTGATGAAAATTATAATAAGAGATGCATCAAACAACAATGAAACTGTTACTGAAAATAAATAAAAAGTATTAGTACAAGACAAAGAAAATAAGCGAATAAAAAAAAATACTTATAGATTTAAAATTGTGTAACTGGTAGTAATCATATAAACAATAACGATCTTCACCTGACATAGATGATATCACCTAGGGTGAAAATTAGTTAAAACCATAATAATAATAATAAATAACAGAACAGAAACTCTTTGGAACATGCTCATGATTCTGCCATTTAACAGCCGGCTTGCTTTGGCAGATGGGAAATCACTGGCTGATATTTACATTAATAATGCCTATCTATTCTTCTCCTGGTCTGCTTTGGCATCTCCCACACAATTATCATTGCTAATTTCGGGATGTTTGCTACTTCAGTGCCTATTACTTCACACATGTATCAGCACAATATCTATAAATTAAATAATAAATTATTTCCTGGCTTCCTGTTTAGCCAGCTCCACCCAAACCTTAGAAGCATGCAATGTTTTTCGTGCATGTAATTTAAGGGTTAACTAAAAGGGTAGATTTAAGGATAGCGTCAGTTAACAATGGTGATTAGAAAACAATGGATTGGTCTATACTAAGAAAAAGGGCGGTTGAGCATAAGATAATAATGTTGTTTATAGGGAACAATAAAATTATTAAGTCACTAGGTTATAATTGATAACAATTAGGGGGTAAATCTAGGGTAACAATAATACACATAATAAAGAAAAATAAAAACGTCTCGATAATATCGTTCACAACTATATAGAATTCGATTCTGGGAGAACTTTATTAACGGAAATTGAATGCCTTTAAATACATTTTCTATCCTATACAACTGTGCTTCCCTATTCTTAAAAATAATTTAGATTCCCTCCGCCTCCTCACCAACGCTTGTGCATGAACCGGCACAACGATTGTGAGAGATACTTTAAACAACTACTGTTATTATTCCCCTACATGATACCGGGAACTAAGCACACAACGATTGTGAGCTAACCCACAACCGTGGCTCACGATGACTAATCTTTGGATCCATCGTATGATGCATATCTTACAAATAAACAAATAAATAAAAGAAAATCAACAAAATAAAGAAAAAAATAAGCCTTTAGACGGCCTATGTCGCGGGGACCCGTGATATTACGTAATATTTGTCACAACCCTAAACAAATGACGTAATTGCACGATTTCATGGCAATTCTTGAATGTGTGCCAGGTTCGTGGCGCAGCAGAAATTCTTTAAAGTTCGTTTATGTTAGGGTTAGGGTTGGGATTAGAAGTTAAGAGGGAGAGTTTATATATTAAAATTGCCCAACGAAAACTTTTTGTTAGAACACTAAAGGTGTTATTCTTATTCAGAATTTCGAGAAATTGCGATACGAACGTTTGTTTTGAATTTTAATCGATCGTGTTACGTTACACCTGATCTTAAAATCTGATTTGTAGTTAAGGAAATCTGCGCCACGAACTTGGCACACATTCAAGAATTGCGATTTCATGTGATGTGATGATTACTGGGTTCCAAACTTCACCCACGTAATTTAAAGTTTGTTTCTTACGCAGAATTCAATTAATAATTATTAAAAATGTATTAAAAGAATAGTTTCTCGCCTTAATAAAATTATCGATCGATTCTAATTCCTATCCAAACATGAATTACTAATAAACCGAGCTTGAATAAATTGTCCCAACGTTACGACTAGAATTAAAATGTGTTTTATGCGTACCGCTCTCTCAAAGCAGTCGTGATACTACCTTTTTTTTTTTATAACCGATTTTGAATATTATAAATCAATTTTTTGTTAAAACCAATTCGTTTTTGAATTTAAAATTGAGTCAAACAGTTCCGACTATGAATGTGCACAGCCAACTTTTCATGAGGCCTTGAATTTAGTTGCTGTTGTTATTAATGCAAAATGCGCCATTCATTCAAACATAATTTGTAATTTGTTTATATTTGTTTCGTATAAGCCGCGCTGCTTCCATAATGTTACAAACAATTTGATGGATTCAAATGATAAGGCCACGCAAAGTTAATTTTTCGTTTTGCATTACATGGATTTCAAAATCAACGCGGATTTTTTTTTTAATATACAGTAATTAATAGAGTCATGTTCATGTTTAAGGCCACACTAGTTAATTTTTCGCTTTGCATAACATGGAATCAGAAATTGGTTCAGCAATCAAATTTTTTTTTATCAGTTATATCGGACAATTCCGGAAAATAAGGTCTCTACCGGGTGATACCTGATTAATTTATGGGGAAATTAAATGGCAAAAATGGAACAATTGGCGCAATTGGAACTTAAAAAAAAAATTTTGAAAAATTGAAAAAAAATGGGTCGGCGGGTAATGTAAAACGAAAAATTAACTTTGTGTGGCCTAATACTGAAATAAATTTAATTATAAATGCCAGATGTATGTTTTCTCTTGACATTCTTATATATTTGTTGTCAGAAGAAAATCAACAGTAAATTATAATTCTTTCATTGTAGCATTCATGTTTATAAATAAAAAATTCAAACTAGGAAAACAGGCACTGTTGTAAATCCGGAGCGAATTAAAAAAAATTGTTCAATCACTTATGTGATGGTCATGTGGGCGGACAGACGAAAATTGGTCAATGATCTGAATATATAAGTCCACCGCTTCGCTCCGAACAATAAATAAATAAATTAAACATTTCTTATTGCCTTCAGATTCACTGTAATCACTTTTCAGTTTCAACAAATTGTCAGTTTGTCGTTTCGTCAATTCAAGATTTTGGATGAGATTCTGTTTCACATTTTATTAGAGCGAAAACTCCAGGTTCATTTAAAAACTGTAAGTATATATGCCGCATTGCATAAATGACGTATATTGTTGCTACACGGATTTATTTATACGGTTATTAAAAAGTGGCTTGATATAAGAATCAGTTTTTTTTTGAACAGCCACTATCTAATAATTTAAGAGCGGAAATGGTGTATAATATGAAAAAATAATATCGTTATGAAAAACAAAACAATTATGGATTTAAGATTAAGCCACAAGATTATGAATTTAAGATTAAGCCACAAGCAGCAATTTAAACACAACAACTTCATTAGTTATTACATATTTTAATTATTAATAATTGATAGATCGTTAAACGACAAAAAATCATTTTGTTATGTCAACCAAAAAACCTCAAGAATCTATTGTAAATATTGAAGATGAAGGTGGAAAAGTAAAAGAGCGATATTTAGCTATTAGTCCAAATGGTGATTTTGTAGTGGAATTTGGTAAAATTTCTACAAAATAAACTATTTATCTCTTCTAATACTAACCCAAATTTTTATGCAATTATTGATTTGTAACGATTATTTGATTTATAGTATTATTGTCAAGTGAATCGAAATTATGGGATTTACAATTATGCATGTATAATGTTGAGGATTCTAAAAAAAATAAAGATTTGGATAAGATAAAAGACGAATTGGATCAGATAAAAGACGGATTGAATCAAAAAAAAGAAGAATTGAATCAGAAAAAAGACGACTTGAATCAGAAAAAAGTCTACACGTATCAGAAAATTGGGCTATCATACAGAAATCTTTCTGAAAATACTGCATCTATAAATAAATTTACAAAAGAGCAATCTGATTTGATTAATTATTTAAATGAATCTAGAAACAAACTGAGTTGGTCTGTTGCTGTGTCAGATAGACTCAAGTTACGTAAATCAACTGTTAGATTATTAGCAATATCTTGTATAAGCGTACATGATATGGCTTATAAAGATTCAAATAACTCTAATTCTAGCTCTAGCACTAACTCTAGCACTAACTCTAACTCTGAACCTAAACCTGGGTTTACTATCGTTTACTTGATTAATGAAGATAATTCAATTGGAGAAGAAATATTAAGGCTAGATAAATATGGTGGAATAGTTAAATTATTTTCGAAAAATGAAGTTGACAAAAAGACGGATAAAGATGGCCAAAATACCGATAAAAATACCAATGAAGATAATTATCAAACTATAAATAAATACTTTCTTATTATTTTAAATGTCTCTGGGATTTATAAACATCACCTTGAACACTTAAATAAACCTACTTGCAAAATTCAAAGTTTAAAGCATTATTTCGAACAGTTATATAAACATACTAACAAATTTCAAAGTTTTTATTATCCAAAGCGAATAGATAAAGCCTTTGAATATAACGGATTTTCGGCTGAATTTAATATGAAATATATTATAAGATGTTTAACTAAACATTATTTTTTAGTAGATACTACAAATGAGGGAGCACAATATATGGAGCTATATGACTTAAAAACGAACCAGTTAGTAAATACCTTTAAGAGGAGAAATTTAAACAGCTTAAAAAATTACATACTAGATATTTCTGATAATTTTGCAATATCACATAATAACAAATTATTAGCGTATAAATCTGGAAATCAGGTCAAATTATACTTGACTGAATGTGGACTTGAGATTGCTTCTATAAATCTTGAGGATGGCAAATCTGTTTATGACTATTTCATGCATTTCTTTAACAATGATGAGAGATTATTTATATACCAGTCAAAAAATAAATGGACTATTTGGGATATTTTCGGTTCAGTACAAAAGTCAATTAAACTCGAAAATCAACTTGATCTTGATCTTAAAATTTTAGGTATTCTGAATGCAACTAATTATCGATTGGAACGATCAGACTCTATTATAATCGTTTTTAAAAACAAAGAAGAAAAAGAATTTTCCGAAGATAAGCAAATTTATGTTTATGATGATTTAATCTCAGATTATGCGTGTTTAAACCGAAAAAGCGACAAGCATGATTTGACGACACTACCGCTAGACAAAAGCTTTACAGATACAGGCAATAATAAGCTTTTTATATTTGATCTTGATAATCACAAATCAGAATTAGATGGATATTATTATATAATTGAGCCTTGGGTTCATTGGCTTGAGAAAGGGGCTCCACGATATTCAGTTTATCTCGACAAAGAAAAGGAAGTTCTACTTTTAATCGGATGGGATACAATTCAGGTTTGGTATGATCGAGCTAAAGATAAAAATGATCAAGCTAAAAAAAGAACCCTTGAATTCATTAGTGTGATTGATAATGATGGCGTTAAAAAAATCGAATATTCAATTAAAAAATTTAAAATTACCAAAGATTCTCAACTCGTAATTGAAATGAGAGATGATGATGACTTAATCTTTGCTGTAATAGAAGCTTGTCACACACTTAAATTTTTGAAAAAACAAGCAGATGAAGTTGATTATTTTTCATTATCCGATGAAGATCGCTATTCAAAATTTCAAATGATAATCAAACAAACACGAAATATTATTGTAAGATTTATTCAATTATATCCGACTACTTGGCGATTATTGGATGTTCGCTATGATTTATTGAGTATTCTCAATGAAGCGGAAGAATATCTGCTTATAAAATATGTATTATTCAAAGAAGAAAAAGATATCGATTCTTCTAAAAAATGCATTCTTAAAACTCTTGATTATTTAGTATCCAAATTTGAAAAAAATGAAAAAAATGAACATTCGCATATAAAGTTAGATCAGGATATTTTATTACATGAGGAATCACTTCGTATGCCCCAAAAATCTTCATGGGAAGATAAAGGAAAAGCAAAAAATACAATTAATAAGGCCCTTGAAGGTTTGTTTATTTAAATTTGTGCCATTAGCCGTAAATACATTTTAATTATTAGTTGATTAAGTTATTTTTATTAGATGATTATCCGATATATCTAGGATATTTATTAGAATATTATTCTAATAAAGCTGTCGAAGATATTAGGTGGATGATTACAGTTGATGAAATTTTACCAAAGCTATATAAAAAGAATAAAAATGGGAATAGAAATGGGAATAAAAATGGTTAGTTATAACTTTCTCACTTAATATACACGTAAATTATCTTATACATTTATCCTTTTTCATATAGAGTTTTATAAGTCGTATCAGCTATTATTTTATAAACGTTGCTTTTGTGAAAAAGAATTGGATATACCCTTTTTTGACTTTTTTGCAATTCCACCAAGCACAGATGATTCTTTAGAAGTTTTTATACCTATAACACAATTGATTCCACAGGATTCTGTTTTGAAAGTAGAAGAAATCAGGTAATTTTCCTAAAATGTTATCCTCCGCTTTATTACTTATTTTTATTATTAATTAAATAAAATTTAAACATAGCCATGATAAAGCTCCTGATGTTAAAATGGTACCCTTAATTGATTTTGTAACGAATGATAAGAAATTTATAGGAAACAAATTCGTGCATTATCTAAAATCTTTAATCCTTCCCAATAAATATTTACCTCAGAGAGAGTGCTCTATTCCTTTTATTTCTCTTATAGATAATGTTGCATATGATCATAATGATCCTTTCTACTTTAACCCATCCATAGAAGCCATTATGAATTTTATGTGGTATTCGTCCAAACCACATTGGCTCAAATCATTAGTCATTTTTATTATATACTTTTTATCTTATTCGATTATTTCTTGGATGTATATTGCACACTTTCAAGTTACCGATGATTTTCAGAAAATTCTGTTGCTTTTTACCATTATGCTATTTTTTTATTTAGCCTATCATCATTTAATAGTTGAATTTAACCAAGTGTTCTATAAAACATTGAAGAAATATTATAGTGATCCTTTTAATTGGGTAGATCTGTTTGCACTTTTATTGCCAGTTTCTATTTCTGTTATTTTGATTAGATATTATACTTTTGATAATGGGTTTAAATATGCTAAAAGTAGCTTAAATTTGGCATTTTTAATTTTTATAAGTATTTTAGGTATTTGGTATGAATTCGTAAGTATATATACTTTTACTTCTTGTTACTTTATTACGTGTATAATTTAAAATTTTTTATTGTTTACAATATTATTATTTTAGATTTTATTATTACGTATATTGCCAGGTATATATATTGCGTATATTAGTTATATCTTTAAGTTTCAGAAGCTTACGCATGTATTTATATATTACTTAGGCTTTGCACGTTATTTAAATATACTCTACAATATTGTTGTTGATATACGGTCATTTTTATTATTTTTTGCTTTAACAATAATTGCCATGGTAGTTTACTATTTTTCAACATTATACAGTGTTGGCCTATGATCTAAATGACCTATATGACCTTTATGACCTGTCATAGGTCATTCGGTCATATTGAAGTTTAATATGACTTATGACCTTTTTTAATACTGTAATATAGTAAGATCATAGTAAAAGTATTTTTTATTAGCATTTAATATGACCGATATGACTATGACCAAAAGTCATATGAATATATGACCAAGAGCATATAGAAAAAAAATGCTATGACATAGGTCATTGGCCAACACTGACATTATATACAATTACTTATATCTAATCTATTATATCTTCCTTTTTAGGGGCATGCATTGTAAGTTTATTATGTAGTAATCGAAAATACCCCAGATTTTTAAATTTTGTATTAATTTATATATTTTTTATACTGCGTGTAGATTTCTTTTTCTTGGCTATGCATCGTACATTGGATTAAGTGAATCTTCAGAAACATTCGAAGTTCTTAATGGAAGTAATATAGTTTATAATATGACTGAAGAAGAACCGGAAGATATATTTACAAACCCTCTTAATTCTATAATTGCTGCATATAATTGGGGTTCAATTTCATTAGATGATTGGGGATTTTGGCCTCTTCTTATAATCAGCGTGATTGGTAATATCGCTTTTGTCATTATATTACAAAATGTTATTATTTCATTTATGAGGTATGTTTATGTAATATTGTATTCTACGAAAAACATTACTTGACTGAAAATTATTAATTATAATTTTTAATCCCATTAAAAGTGCAGCTTTTGAGAATGCTGATAAAAATGGAAAACGCGTTATTCTCACTTTTCAAAGTCGTTTAATTTATGATTATGTAAATCTTGAAAATTCTGCTTTTACTTCAGGAATGAATTATTTTGATACTAGGCTTAAAGATAAATTAAGAGTGAAGTATATATGTTTTTATAATGAGCCGTTAATTAGAAAAGCATGGAGAGATGAATCTAAAGAATGGGAATCAAGTCCAATCTATTCAAACGTTGAAGGTAAAATGCAAATAGAAGATGAAAGCGAATTATTTATTGAAGAAGAAGACATTAATTTTATTTGGACTTCAGCAGAAAAAAAGTCAGGAGAAACAACAGAATAAACAGATAATTATGGTAAGATTTAGCAAGAGTTTGGTAGTTAGTATCAATAATAGATAATTACATTTACTTATCTAAAAATAGTCAAGCTTTTTAAACTACTTATTTAATGGTTTAACATTTTATTTTATTTTTTTTTTGTAATATAGAAATATTAGTTAATAAATAAAATAGCAGTTTTTGCAAAGAAATAATTCAGATATTAATGAGCAAGATTGAAAAATTATTCATCATTACATCTAGAGCTGTTAAATGGTCTGATTCAAATTCAGACTTGGGACAGACCGAAAAGACCGTCGGCCCTAATATCATTTACAGTTGACCCTCTCAAAAACGATCCTGTCAAAGTTGATAACCTGTCAAATCTGATAAAAAATTAATCCGTTTCCGTTATATAACTCTAATAGTTTGCTATGTTTTCAAATCTGATAACATCTTAAAACTGATACAAACCTGTCCACCATTCATACCAATTCTGAGATTGACTGTATTATTAAATCATTGTTATAGACAAATTAATAGTCAATTATAATTAAAAATAATTAAATTAGATCAATTATAATCAATTTGTCTTTTATATTAATAAAAATCTTTATCGCATATAATTGTGGGGTGATAATAATTAATTAAAACCATCAGATTCTAATCAGTTTTCAAAGTTTCCTAATGTTCTTTTTCAACTCTTCTCTTTCTATCTATTTCTTTATTCTACACTTAAAGGTCTTATTCCCAACATATTTTCCAGTTTATTTTAGCATTCAAACTTCTATACTAAATCATCTCCCAATTATTTAAAATTTATTTAATATCTCAAATAAACTTTATAATCAAATATAGAAAACTTACTATTCTAACTTTTTTTCTAAAAAAAAACACATCATATTTTTTTTAATTCTTCTTTCACTCAACCTCTTAACAATCTTCTTATTTCTATACCAGATATAAATATTTATTTACTTACACTTGCCTATACAATTTATTAAACCAACTATATTTTGATATAAATGCTTTTCTACTCTCTGGGTTTGCTAATTATAAATTTAATATTTGGTTTACTATGAAATTCAATATAGTATATTCATTAACAATTTTTAATTATAAATATAGCAAAGTAGCATAGTTTAGTTCTTAGACTTTACCTATGTAGAAGTAGATTTTCATTCTAGGTGGCAAATAAGAGTTTGATTTTTCTAAATACAAAATGTTTAAAAACTATGCCTATATTATAGTATACTGCTATTTTAAATTAGTTGAGTTAGAATATTTGTATCCTTAGTTGCACTAGCAAAACTAGAAGCTTGGGTATTTGGATACATCTATAATCTCAGAGAATTTTTTATGTTTTTGAATTAACAAACTGTGCATATGTGTTTTGAAATAATATACAAGGTATTAAAAAGTGCACGTTATTACATGTCTATATAGTAAAGGTAAAAATCTATACAGTAGCTAACCAATAAAAATGTTGTGATTCACAGTTACACAATTTAATCGCATAATTTATATAGATAATCTAAACGTTATCGTTATATACAAATTTTTTTATTATATAGTTATAAATTTATACTATGATAAAACCAGATTAATCTAGATATAAAAAATATATTTAGATTGAGATATTAACTCTGTACAAGACAATATTCTACAAGTTTGCTTAGAAGCTAAAAAGAAATTTACTAAATAAAGGTTTAAAAATCACAATATTTTTTATAATTTTATTAATAAAATTATAGAAAATATTAAAATTCACAAAATTGTTTTAATTAAATCTATCTTTATATTTTAAGTAAACTTGTTCTACATATAAAAATATCTATATTTATATATACTTACTTTATATTTTAAATTTTAAGAAAAAAGATGCTTAATTTTAAAATTTTGATTAAAAATTCAAAATTAAATATCTTTTCTCTTAAAATTTAAAACTATAAAGTAAACATATATTAATATAACCATTTTTATGTATAGACAAGTTTACTTAGAGTATAAAGATAAAATTAGTTAGTAAAATTTTGTGAATTGTAATATTTTTCATAATTTATTAATAAAATTATAGAAAGTATTAAAATCTACAAAATTATATTAATTAAATATACCTTTATACTCTAAGAAAACTTGTTCTATACATAAAAATAGTGATTTTGATTCAACTCTATTAACAGAATTTATTTTAAATTTGACTTGTATATTTTTTATTAAAATATACATAAATTCAGATTTAATAAACTTATTACTTGTTGGGTATATTCCTAACAAACTTTAAAAAGAATAGCACCAATAAGTATATAGTAATCCATAAAAATCTAAACTATATTATTTTATATAAAGAGATAGGTGAATATTTAATGATATTTTCTTAGCACTATGCTTAAAATATAAAACCTTTTTCAATCATGTAAAAAGTTTTCATTAAGTTTAATAAAGATAAGAGCAAGGTCTCACCTTAAATATTAATATATATATATATATATATTTAATAATATTATATATAAGCTATAATTAGAGTTACAGGTAAAACTAATTAATTTTACCAGTAACTGGTGTACCAACAGTGCACCATTAGTACACTGTTGAAAATTAGTTTTATCTATAACTGCAGCTTTACATCTAACAGTTTAACTTTTTACATATAAAAAAAATACATTGGCTCATTTATTTGCACAAATAAAAATAAATTAATCAAAGGCAGACCATTATTTATTCTTGCTTGATCAGGTGACTATTAACACAGGAGAAATAGATTTATTCTCTACTAATTACAAGACTTGATATCATATATACAAGGATATCTAAACTCTAAATAGATATTTTTGCCTAAATTGACCATTCACACTTTATAATAAATTACAAATTCATGATTCTAAATTGGATCAAATATAGTTCAATAAATAATCAATTGATACAGAGTAGGTATTATCTATATTATATTTGATCTATCAGGTTGGGTATTTTATAGCTGCAGATATGTGTCAATCATTTCATAAAGCTTTATTTTACCAACAAGTTCATTTTATAGACAATTATTTTACCACATCTTAATGTTTAGCTTACTGGAGATTTACTACAGATCAATGAAAGATATTCTATCAAGTATATGCTATTCTATATATGTAAGTATGCTAAAAGTATAAAGATAAAGAAATAATTTTTAATTTTGTCTGTGTATATATTTCATTAATAAGCCAAATAGTTAAGCAAAGTGATCTAGACAAAGCACATAATAGGTTAATAAAATTAGTGCAATTAATTGAGGAATTATAGCTAGAATTGCAGGTGAAACTAATCTTCAATAGTGTACTGATAGTGAAACTAGTAAAACTGATGAGTAAACTTAACGAAATTATGACAATTATTATTTTACATAAACAACTTGTCGGGTGATCAGACTGGTCCTGCACTGCGTCACACTGGGGTGTGCAGTCAACTATGTAAATCAAAACTACTTTGCAGAAACCTCTAATTTTGCTAAATATATTTATTATATAATAATTATATAATAATTATATGTTTAAAATATTATTTTTTAAAAATATATTAAAGGTATTATTAAAATATATTAAAAATATCTTAAAAATATCTTAAAA